ATCTCTTAACCATTCAGACATCTGAACCATTAAGAGGCTGAAACAAATAGTCTGAACCATTAAGTGCTGAACCATTCAGACATCTGAACCATTAAGAGGCTGAAACAAACAGCTCCTTAGTAAAAAAAATAAAAAAGTGTCAAATTATAATTGACTTTCAATTTTGTATTTGATGTTATGGATAAATTATTAGAGAAAAAAAATATGATGTGACAGATAGGATATAAAAAAATAAGGATAAGGGTGGTTTTTTTAATAAAAAGAAAGTGTTTTGTTGGAAATAGAAAAAGAAATATTTGCACTAAATGGCACTAAAACTTAAGTCATTTTCCTAAATACTCCATCTGTCCGGAAATATTCTTCCCGTGTTGACTTGGCACGCTTATTAAGGAATAGTAAAAAATGCAAAATTTTCAAAAATACACATACTATAAACTTTTAAATCTCCTTTTATTATTAAAAAAGTACTAAAAAAGTAGATTTGTGATAAAATAGAAGGGTATTATTGATATTTATCCTTAAAAAGTATACTAAAAAAGGAAATGGGAAGAATATTTCCGGACGGACCAAAAAGGAAAGTGGGAAGAATATTTCCGGATGGAGGGAGTAACACTTAAATTGTTTTATTCTCTAAATAGCACTTAATAATGTCTATAATGTCTAGTGATGACGAAAATTTACTTGAATAATGACTAATGCATAATGACTAAAAGTGTTACATTGGGAAGAAAAACACATGTAGTGTTATTTAGGGAAAGTCATTATGTTTTAGTACTATTTAAGTAAATTCCCCATAGAAAAATTTAAAAAGGAAATATTTTTTATAACGGAGGAAGTATCATATATATATAATGATGTAAATGTATGTATATGTTTGTATGTATGTATATCATGGTGTAAATGTAGAAAAATAATAATGGAGAATTTAAAATCTTTCAAACAATTTTATTTATCAAAATTGATGTTGTAAATTACCTAACCGAGTAAATAGTACTAGATCGAGTCTAAGGTTATTTGCAAAATCTAGACAGTTGAAGGTAACAAACACGCAAATTAACCTCACTTGAGGGTTACACAAACATTAGTTTAAGGTTATTTTATTTTATTAACCAAAATCTTAATTTATAATTAGTTTAACCAAAAGCCTTCATTGTTTGTATTTAATGTGATGTAGTAAAGTAGTGTAGATGAAAAGTAGAGATATATTTAACATCTCTACCTTTTAGTAAGAATAAGGTCTACACACCCACTCTCCCTAACCCAAATTTCGTGGGATTGAATCGAGTAGTTATTCTTTATTTTTAAAATAACATTGGGTTAAAAAAATACTCCATACAAGTATAATAATTGGGACGAATATAGTGGGACGGAGGTAGTATAATAATTGGGGACTAAATTAGTAATATTTGATATATAGGGACTAAATATGTAAAACGGCCTATAACTGGGGACCTTTTATGGAATTTACTCTCTTTTTTTAATTTCGTAATATGAGAGAAACTGAAAAAATTCTTAATTTGATAATTTTTTTAAATTTCGAAATATGAAACAAAAATCATTTCATTAATTTTGCATGTACTACATGCGAAATCATTTAAAAGGATATGCTAAGGGTACACCAAAGATGTACCCCAAATGTACACCACCCCCCTCTTTACCATTCATTTTATTTTATTTTTATTTTTTACTTTTTTTTGAATTTTTCTTACCTTTTTTGTGTGATGATAGAGGGGGTGGGGATGTTTGGGGTAAACTTTTGGTGTACCTCTATCATTTTCATTTAAAAAAAACTGAGAAAAAATTTGAGTGATGAAAGTTTGATGTTGATGTTTTTGCATGTAGTACATGCGAAAATTCTGAAACAAAAAAAAAAGTAATTGCATGTTATACATGCGAAAGTTGGAGTGGGGAATTTGCTTCTTAAAAATTTCCCAGTGAGGGAATTGCTCCCCTAGTAGGACCGTTTGGCCCACCTTGGCCGGCCCTGGTCATTAGTGGTGTAGCTAAATTGTACGGAGTATGATAAACTTAATACTCCATCCGTCTCCATTTTGATTACAATTCTATTTTCATTTTTTTGACAACTTTTGTTTATTTTTGTGTTTTCATATACTTTATTAACATGTAATTTTTATTTCATATGAATGTACTAATTTGTAAATAAAAAAATTTCAAAAAACATGAGAATTTACCTCGTAATTCCCATTTTGTAATTAAAATATGGACGAAAAGAGTATGTGAATTACCTAAAATGGACATCCATATGAAGGTGGTAAGTACGGAAGAATTCATCAAAATGCTCGAAAAGGTTTCGTATTTTGCGAATTACCATGTAAGTGAAAATTGACTGAAAAAGCAAGGCGTTTAATGATAATGGACGTCTTTAAAAAAGAAAAAACAGGCCAAGTAACGAATCGTCAGTGGCGTTTCATTTTTAAATTTAAATTAAAAAACAAGGATGGCAAAACAACATTGGATGACAGAAGCGGCTCTAAGGGTGGGCAGGGTCTGACCAGGGCCCATTTTTGAAGATAACCGCACAATATATTGGAATCCCAAACGCCACTGAAGGCACTCTTCAAGTGAGAAATTTGGTATTCTGTAATGTAAATTCCTCCCCAAAATATCATGTGTCCAAGCTAAGGTCATGAACGATGGGTCAGGTCGACTAACGTACGAGAACAGCCTAACTGAGGTGCCGGTCGCAATGCTTAAGAATATCACTTGTCTAAGGTCATGAATGATGGGTCAGTTCGACTAACGTACAAGATCGACCTAATTGATACCTCAACCGTAGTTGCAATGCTTCAGATATCAAATTTACTCCCTATTAAACTTGTTCACATTTTACACGCTTATATAGATTATGCCAATCAATACAACGGTCGACACTACAAAACTCCCAAATATGAAGCTCACCTTGAAGTTTTGGCTGCCAGGCTTCCAAAATATGATGAAAAAAGGGTTATGCGGTCATATGGATATCTTAGAAGAGTTTAGGAGAAATTCTCCCTTTGGTTATTTCCTCGATGTCCATACTTTTCTCCATTCGGCCATGCTATGGCAGTTGATGGTTAGGGAGGATGAGGTCGAAAGAACTGCTCAAATATGGTTTGTAGGAGGAGGAGTTCCCATTAGATACTTTATAATGAAATTTTTATCTGATTACTAGACTGAAGTGTTTAGAATTAGGGCTTAGATATTAAAAGAAGAATGATACAAAGGCATTGTGTGCCTTTGTTGAAGAGAGTTGGCCAAGTAGTCTGGTTTGTTACACTTATTTAGTCGACAGGTTCTCAAAACTGAATCGGCTACTCAAAGAGGAAGCAGAGAAAGAGTATGCCACCGAGTGGATCATGAAGGTGGTACGTAACATTGGTGTTTGTTGTCCTTCTTTTTCATTAATTCGGCCAAGAAAGAAGTGGTAATTAATTACAGAACGGGCCGTAGCCAAAGTTTCAAACTTCGAGGACTCTCTGGATTTTCCATGGGGGCCTGGGTGTTCAGAAGTCTCTCTGTTTCCAATCACTGGGGAAGGACTTGGTGGCACAGAAGTAGACCCAGCAAAAATTGACTCAAAATGTTTTTTGACCCGAGACCCTATCTGAAATATTGGGTTTTGAACAAAGGTTCTGTTGACTGAACCTGAAATTGATCAAACCTGAAATGACCCACTTAAAATGGGTCAAACCCAACCAAACTTGATATGATCGACCCGTTAACGTAATATTTTTTCAATCATGTACTTAATATGAAAAATAATGTATTAAAAATAAAGTCATGTTTTTATTTTTTTTCTTATTACTCAGTTTAGTGTATAAACTTATATTTTTAAATAAGTTTTTAATGATATCACATAGTTATCATACATTTTTTTAAAACTGGTATATAGCTTGTTTTCATATAATTTATAATTTTGTTAAGTATATCTTAAAAGTAATTAAAAATTCAAAATAAAATACTCCAATAGACTTAATATATGTATTTTGATATTTCATTATTTTTTCAGTACAAAATGTAAGTACTAATATAAATTGTAATATTTAAATTAAAATCTTAATTTAAAATTAAATCTCATAACCCGTTGGGTTGACCCAAGCCCGATAATACTAGGTCATGAACATGCAGTTCTTAATCTGAACCGGAATTTACCCAAATCTGACGTAACCCAAACCCAATATGATCGAACCCGAACCTGCCTTGACTGACCGGTTTGTCAGGTCTACACTGAAGGAAAAGATTGAACAATATGACAAAATATTCAATACCCTGCGCTACACTGGCTTTCTTCTCCCCTCATTCGTGAGTATTAAAATTTAAATTTTCAATGATTGCATCATTTCATTCATTTAATCATCTAATTAAGTTTCAATTATTGATGTATGAAGTATATGTTGTTTGAATACATTCTTGATTTTGGAAAGATATTTGGAGTGAAGATAGAGCAAACAAATCCAGCACTCGTGAGAATGTGCCTATAGAGTGATAAGTTTCTAAAAAAGAGGTTCACACACTGAGATATTGTGGATACAATTAATGCTGTCAAGGTAAGTTACACATCACGGGTCAACTATATTGAACTTTGTAAGTGTTTAAATCAATCTTAAACTTTTGGAGTCGACTACAAGTTAACGTTAATATAGAGTGTATATCGACTACGATTAGAATGTCGACTACGTTGTAGATCGATGTGACTATATTGAGTGTCGAACAAAAATTGGAATGTCTACTAAGTTGTATTGTCTACTACAACTTTTCAATCGACCTACTCTGATATATTCATCTTATATTTTTACCTTAAAAGGCATGGAATTTTGTTCTACAGAATGTATGGAGAATTCTTTTTCTAGACGGTAGTGAAATAGGTGCTCCTTTGATCACTAGCTTGACCTCCTTGGCATGTGTTGCCAATATATTTCTAGAAGCATTTTTCATGGGACTCCAAAGTTGTGATAATCATATACCAATATACAAGTAAAAGGAATCGTTTTGGCTTCAAGCCTTCCCAGCTCAGAAGACTGTGCTTAACCGTATTACTACTCTATGCAGAGACTTTCTGTGGGGCAGCAAGTTTGCTAAAGTGGCATGGGCTGACATTTGTAAACCCAGAAATGAAGGGGGTCTGGGCTTGAGGGATGCTGAAACCTGGAATAATGCTCTTCTGTGTAAAGCCTTATGGAACATTGCTGCGAAAATGGGATTCACTTTGGGTGATTTGGGTTCACACTGTTTATCTGCGCAATGAATGTGTGTGGGTGTGGCAGCCCAGGAAGAGACACTCTGTCTTCTTTAAAAGGCTTGCCTATGTGCGAGAGCTTTTGGTACAAAAGCTTGGTGACCATAACTCCTCCTTGGAAGTGGCTATGCAACAGTTTTGTATTGGCGATAATCTCTGTCCGAGTAAGGTTTATGATTTTCTTAGGGACAAGTCCAATCCCAAGCCTGGGATGGCTTTCATATGGCATTCTCTAATTCCTCCTAAGTGCTCCTTTACGATGTGGCTGGCGCTTAGGGAGAGACTTCCTACCAAGACCAATTTGGAATTCCTTGGTCTTCCTATGGAGTGTGAGCTTTGTGGAGATGGAGTCGAGGACATTAGCCACCTCTTCTTTGGATGCTGTGTGTCAAAGCAAATCTGGGGAGCCATTAGGCATTGGCTACGGATTGATGCCCAACTGACAGCCTTGGACAGAGCCATCAGGTGGTTGAGGACGGCTAGACGAGGAGATCCTATCCTGAAGAAGGCACGGAGGATAGGGTTGGCATGCACCGTATTCCTCATCTGGAAACAGCGTAATGCCTTCCATTTTGAGCGCAAGCCTCTTAATATTGATGGTGTGATTTGTAATATCAAAACTATGGTTTATTGTGTTTTGGGCCGTGTGTGGCCAAATGTTCATCTTACTTTTTAGTTTGGGTTAGCCTGCGTGCCTTGGTTTTGGGGTTGGTTTTCCCCTTTTATGCACGAGGGTGTCCCGTTGAGGTGCTTGATGTAGTGGAAGGGTTGCTCCCATTCCTAGCTCGGGTATGCCCGTTCTATTTGTATATTCCTATTCTCTTTCTATTTACATTTTCCACAAAAAAGTAAAAGGAAGATGTTGTTCCCTCTTAGAGTGAGGATGAAAATATTTCAGTAGGGACTTCAATTTTGGATGATGTTGTTCCTTTTGTTAGCGATGTGTCACATACACCTTTCTCCAAAAAAAATGCATTTAAAAGAAGAAAACCATCTAGGCCGAGAACCACACCCTTCTCTCCCAAGTAGCACAAACCACCCATGGGCAAACCCAAAAATATAAATCCCCTAAACCAAATCCCCCACATGTGACATCTTTTAGTGGAACCGTAAGTGAAAACTTGTTAGTTACCGTGAAAGAATACATAGATGGAAAATTTAACTGAGCTTCAGACTATGCTAGTTTGAGAAATGTCATGGAGGGAAAGTTTAAAAAATCTCTAAAAAAAACCTGCTCAACACCTTAATTCAGACCTTAAAGGGAATGAATGATGAAGGGAAGCAAGAAGATGAAGAGCCAAAAGAGTGAATATGGTCGATCCCTCAATGATATTTGAGGTGATTCTACCATGGCAACTGAACCTGACATGACTGATAATATTATTGAACAAGTGTTGATGAATGGGGGATTGGAAATAATTGATGAATTTGCTAGAGCCGACAATGTTAAACTGATAAGATGTGGTCGACAATGCAACCTTATAATAAATAAAAGTTACGTTCAAAAGGGTTAGTTTGGGCGGTACGCGATGAAGGTCGAGCCACTTTTAGAGATACTTTCTTATTGAACTTTTGTCCATTGCCGATGTGGAACCATCCTCCCCCACGTATATATGGATGCATTTAAGATTCTACCGCCATATGTAAAATTCCTCCCTTTGTCATAATTGCAACATTATCGATGAGTAGTAGTGTCTTCATAGACAATATTATCTTCTTTGATATCATAGTCTTCAATCATCAAATTCTGAATTTTTTTAAATTTAAGATTTCTAATCATTGTCTTTTTATTTACTCCATGTGCCCTTAAAAAGTCTTTATTTGACTCACCATGAAAATTTTAAAAAATTATACATGCTATTGATTTTTCTAATATTATACTCATTTGGATGGAGGAGTGGTGGGAGTGGTGGTAAAAATGAGTAAATTTGAATAATTTAAAGGGCATAAAAGAGAAATTACATTAAAATAAAACCTTATACTGAAAGAGAATTTTTTGGATATCAAGGACCCTTTTTTAGGATAGAGAGAATATATATATATAATATTCATGCAAACTTCATAATTATTTTGTCAAAATTGTTTATCGGTGTTGGGTGTGAAACTCCTTAGGGGTGCCATTAGCTGGGATGTAGGTTTCATCAGTAATTTGATAGTGAAAAAACACATCTTATGCAGTAGACTTGATGAGCAAACTTCTAAGTCTATGGGACCCTCAATGTGAGCTCCTCTTGCTCCTCTATTTTTACATTGTTATTCAACCTCAAAATATGCCAACTGACGTATGTATGTGAGGATTATTCTATTTTTACACAAGCATTGGGGATCGATCGAGAATATTATATTGTGATTTGTAAAGGTCTATTTTTGGAAAACTTAAATGGAGGCTGACATCCCTTTTGCCACATTTTACGAGTTTGGGTTTATATTCGACTAAAGATATTTATACATACACTTTCATGGCCTTGTGAGCACAATCTAAGAGTTTGTAGGATCCAATTGTTAAGGATTATGGTATCATCAGGATAGATTCTAATTATGGGTTTGCGTTAGATAACTTACACATGTCTCTCTTCAAGTTTGATCTTGATAGTAATCTAATATGGACACCGCCCTTAGGCCAAAATACTTTGGAAAATGTCATATGTAGTAGAATTGTCAGTATTCTAGGGAGAAGTTTAATTTATCCCCTTACCAAAAAATGGTTTTCGAAGTCTTTAGGCCCCTCATGCCCACGATTTCCATATTGTCATCCCCATTGAAAGAGTATATTAACACATATCGCTTGTGGAGTATGAGACAATCCTTGAGTACCAGTTAATGATCCTCCTTCTTTCAGGTTGATGAGTCTTGCCTAATTTGTCGCACTGCTTGTTTAGATGCTTTTGGCAAGTATGCGATCCATTGAAAGTTGCAAGAAGCTACTTGAGTTTAAATACATGTATTATTTGGTCAAATAAATTCCAAGTGATGTTCTAAAGCGGGCAAGGATTTCAACTAAAAAGGAGGCCTTGGTGAACTTTTTGATGGATCAACTGGAAGGGAGGTCTACTATACGGCCAATCAATATTCTTGTATTTGAGTGGGCAAGGGGAAATACGCTTGTGTGGAGTGTGGACATTATATGTTTGTCTCCTTTTGTTGAGCCCATGAGCAATGAGTTTGTTGCTGGCCAAGAAGAACTAAAGGCATAATCAAGTAAAATTGCTAAACACGAAAAGGCTTGATTGAAGAACCAATATGTTTTTATTCCATTTACTTTTGATACATTTAGTTTTCTAGCCCAATGGCCGTGCAATTTTTTAACAAGTTCAACTAGTTTTGCATATTAATGCATGTTTCCACCCATAAGACTCATAGTTTTACCTTTTGTATGATTGATTGTGCTATTAAGGTGGTTGTGGCACAACTTGTTAGCTTGTTGCCCGTTTAGCTACTACTTTTTTATATTTGGTTTGGTTGGGGTTAAATCTAATAATTAGAATAATAAAAAAATTGTTCACAAGACCAAATGCATTAGTTTATCATGTTTTCAAGGCTTGATATTTCCCAATTTCTTCTTTATTTGAAGCTCCGTTGGGCCATTGCTCAAGTAATTATTGCCCAGTATATTTACAACCTGTTATTGTTCATGAGAGCTTAGAGACCAGTTGGAAACAAGAAATAGACAATTACTTGGGGAACATCATAGCTTCTTGATGCTTTAAATCTTATACTAGAGATTCCAGTATCAGCGTGATAGAAAGTATTTAGAATACATAATATGAAAATAAGATAATTAACCATTGAAGTCCACATATCAATGCAGAAGATCATATGAAAGGATACGCATCACACTTTCCTATAGTGCATTACATTATAAGTGAAGTATGATGGGCTCATGAAATATACACCTATCAACCTCATTAGAAAATTAGAAGTCACAATCTGGGTGAGGAAAGTCTCAACCCCAAAGGTGACTATTTTTCTAGCCTCAAATGCAAGTTGAAATTGGTTCGAGGCCTCGCATTTTATTTCTCGATCAAGGCAGATTTCTCTTTTAGGGAGTACTACAATTTCTCTTACTAGGTAGACTCTGAGGTGTTATTTGATGCATCATTGTTTTAGAATATTGATTTAGTGAGTTATGCTATTATTCTCGTTTTGCATATAGAAAAAAATTAGTGGCTAGAAATGGTGGACTAGATTGTAGTTAAGACCCTCTCTTAGCAGAAGCTATGACTTGTCAAGAGGAACTATTGTAACTTAAATCGAGATCTGCACGTGAGATTACAATTTTTTTGGATTGTCAACAACTTGTCCATGCTATTTAACAGGGGGCTCAGTCATTCTGCTCGTCCTACTTTGGCTCATTGATTGAAGAGTGCTCAAATTTATTAGGATCTTTTGCTTCTGTTAGCCATGTAGGCCAGTTTTTTAAAATTGTGTTGCACATACTCTTGCTAGAAGTGCCTCAACTCAAGCACCTTCGTGAGAGGTGATTCCTCCAAACTATGTAGCTGATCTTTCTCGAATTTAGTAATAACATGTTTTACCTTAAAAATGAAAATATAATTTCAATGTGGTTAGTAAGAATTGAGGTTGTGCAAAAAAACATGCAAAAATTACATTCTTTATCACAAATATCAAGAGTTGGACCTTACTATTTTGATAATTATATTTCAATCACTGAGATTCATTCATTCATGTAACATTGGTGCTCAATGTCCTTATCGATGATTTCTATCCCCTTAACCTCCAAGCGTCCTGTAGCCAATCGGAGAACGAGAAACCATGACATAAAGCATTAATATTACATGAAATGACCTCTATTTTTGATAACCTCATTAATCTCAGGCGAGTAAGTAAATGCTCATAAAAAATAGAGTGTGAGTTTCGACCAATTCCGGACTCCGGTTCAGCAAAAAGACAATCGGAAATTCGGAAGGTATGAAAGCGAAATTCCTATTATACCCTCAGGCCCTCACAGTTCTTCAAGCTCTTTCCAGCTGAACAGATCAGGCAATTCTTCACGTTCTTTCTTCTCCTCCTTCCTATATACCAAAGCGATCTTCACCTCTTCCCATCGCCCAACGACGGCTCCGCCGCTCATCGCCGCCGCAGTGACAATGGCGAAGCAACCCTTCTTCTTCTTCTTCACTCTCTTCTCCGTCCTCTCCATCGCCGCCGCCGAGATCAAAACCCCCAGGATCACTTCGGACTCTCGGGCGATGATTCTGTTCGAGCGGTTCGGGTTTACCCATACGGGTCACGCCGCCATCACCGTCTCGTCGGTTTCCGTCGTATCCACCCTCTCCGCGCCCGACCCGTCTCGGCTAGGGTTCTTCCTTCTCTCCCAGGAGTCCCTGATCCAGGTCCTTCTGGAGCTCCAGCAAAATCCCTCGTTTTGCGTGCTCGATTCCAAGTATATAAATCTGCTCTTCACTTTCCGAGACCTATCGCCGCCGCCTAACTCCTCTTACAGCCACTCCTACCCCATCACCTTCCCCAATGAGTACTCCCTTTTCTTCGCTAACTGTGTCCCCGAATCCAAGGTCTCCATGGACGTACGCACCGAGCTTTACAACCTCGATGATCAGGGCCGGGTCAAGGATTACCTCTCCGCGGGCCTCACCCAGATCCCTACTCTTTACTTCCTATTCTCTGTAATCTATTTCGGATTTCTGGGTTTCTGGGTTTACATCTGCTGCACCAACAAGAACTCCGTCCACCGGATCCATCTCCTGATGGCAGGGTTGCTGGTGATGAAGGCTTTGAATCTGATCTGCGCCGCGGAGGACAAACACTACGTGAAGGTGAGCGGGACAGCTCACGGCTGGGATGTGTTGTTCTACATTTTCCAGTTCATCCGCGTGGTTCTCCTCTTCACTGTTATCATCTTGATCGGCACTGGATGGTCGTTTTTGAAGCCGTTCTTGCAGGAGAGGGAGAAGAAGCTGTTGATGACTGTGATCCCTCTTCAGATACTGGCTAATGTGGCCTCTGTAGTGATTGGAGAAACTGGACCCTTCATTAAGGACTGGGTCACATGGAATCAGGTGTTTCTGATAGTCGATATCATCTGCTGCTGTGCAATCATCTTTCCTATCGTGTGGTCGATTCGGTCTTTGAGGGAAACATCAAAGACCGACGGGAAGGCGGCGAGGAACTTGGCAAAACTGACCCTTTTCAGGCAGTTCTACATTGTGGTGATTGGGTACCTCTATTTCACAAGGATTGTGGTTTTCGCCCTGAGGACCATTGCTGCTTATAAATACCAGTGGGTGTCAAGTGCTGCAGAGGAGATTGCAAATCTTGCTTTCTACATGACAATGTTTTACATGTTTATGCCTGTGGAGAAGAATCAGTACTTTGTTCTTGACGAAGAAGATGAAGAGGCTGCAGAGATGGCTCTTCGCGACGAGGAATTCGAGCTCTGAAACAAACGGAATGGATGGATCCCATTTTGCACCTATCTGGCTCTCAACCTTTTCACTGTGAGTTTCTCTGTGAAGGTGGTGTCTAGATTTCCTGGGTTGAATTCCATTTCTTGCTTTGTTCGCTTTTACCATCTTTTTTTTGCCCTCTTATTATGGTATTTTCGTTTTTTCTGAATGTGAAACTGTGAAGTTCAGGAACTATACTTGGAGTTTTCTAAACAATGGCATTTTTATGTAATTGAATTGGATATGGAAAGCCTTAACTTTATGAAATGCAGTGCACGCTGTCTTGACTCATCATTTGTAGGTTTTTCTTCCCTTATGATGCATTGTTCTTTTGTATAATTAGCTTTAGAATGGTTATTTGCCCGTTTTCAAGCCGTGAGAGCTTGTGAGAATGCTAGAGTAGTTAAGAATGAAATGTCATTTGGAGTTTGGCATCTTGTTAGCCACTTTTGTGAGTTCTGTCTCTGTTGGTATTTGGTAACAATAGCAGTTTCATAAGGGCGCGTTTGGTTTGGAGGGTGGGACGAGGAGCTTCATTTCACCCCTCTTGCCTTGTTTGGTTTAAAAATCAAAAACCATGCTAACACACCTTTATTGTTTGTGCGACACAGACAATAAAGGTCTGTGTGGCATGTGCGAAGCATGGGGATCATGTTTGGGGTCACCCTTTTGGGGTTATCCTAGCTTTATTGAAAAATCAAAGGGTGGTGAAGCTTCTTTCACCCCACCCCGGTTTTTCGTTCGTCCTAAACCAGAGTTCTTTGGGTACTTAAACCCCACTTCACTATGAGTGCTATATTGCTATCCTTGACCCGGGTTCATTCGCGGGCAGTTTATCGTTTGACTAAATTGGACCTAGACAGCTACATTTGTGGGAGAAATAAGATCATATCATGTCAATTTAAAACCTTACAATAGTAGTAGGATGGTGTGGACTTATTTATTGTCTGTCATTTAGGCACACACTGAGTGGTCTTGTTTTTACTATGTTGACTTCTATATTTCTATCAAGGAATTTTGTGCTTGTGTTCTCCTGTTGGCATTGATCTCATGCTGTCACTACTTGATTTGTAAAAGCAGAAAACTTAAGATTTGCTTCGTTTTGCATAAAATGTAAACCGTTTTGGGACGGAGGGAATATTTCATTCCGCTCAACACTGCTCTCTCCAAATCAGCAACCACTGAGCGCCACTCTATCGCTGACCACACTCACAATCTCCCTCACTTCACACCTGTCGTGTCTCACATCACTACAATGATTACAATTTATTTTTTAATACTCTCTCCGTCCCAAAATATTTGTCCACTTTCACTTTTACACACCATCCAATACACTTCTTTAATTCATTTTATCTTGTAATTTGTATATTAAAAAATTATAGAAATTATATATTAATAATCTATATGTTAAGACAAATCAAACAATATCACACATGGCTATATTTAGGCTTACACATTGAGAGAATTTGATGAGTCAAAGTGCTTAGATGAACAGTTCCAAAAGTTAAAAGTGGATGAATATAGCAGGACGGAAGGAGTATTTACCTATTTCTACTCAAATTAAATTCTATCTTTTACAGAATAACAATATAAATTAATTAAATTTTTTTTGCGAGTCTATACTATTTTATTTCATTATTAAATTTTTTCTCATTTTGGATTAATATTTTTTTTATTTTAACAACTAAGTACACAAAAAAATAAATCTAAAAGTTTTAGCAAATGATTAATGTTAATAGGCAATGAAAGTGTTTGAAAATTAATTTTGTGAATAGTAAAAGATAATTGAAATTAGAACAGAGAGAATAATAAAAAGAAAAACTGAATAAAATGTAAATAAGGGAAAAAAAACTAACAAAAAGAAAACCTAATGATATAGGAAAACGGATCACGTCTTCTGCAGCAAAAATAACAACAAAAAAATAGCAAAACAAACACTCCGTAATTGACATAATTGAATGGATACATTCGTGACCACACTCACGCAGCAATTCACGCAACAAAGGGGCAGTGTGCCTTCTTCCCCAGCGTGTCACATCAGTTTTTTTCTCATCCTTCACGCAAATAGTTTTTACCCTCAATGCTACCACAAGCAACTTTATTTATCTCACATTACTTCTTTTATTTTTATAAAAATTGGATGGTGCCATTTTTAAAAATATTTAAATTATAAATTAGAAATGAATACTTTGAAATCAATTAAGCCTTTAAAAAGGACAAAAAATTAATTTGACATAAGAAAAAAAATAAGAAAAGAGGAAGAAAGTGGGGAGGGTCGTTCAATGGCTGTCACCGCCGCCCATGGAGTCATCGCCGGTGGTCCGAATCACTCTTGCGTCCTGCTCTTAATTTGAAGGCGTAAAAATTTAAAATAAAAAAAAAAATCACCCACAGATGAATTCATGGGGAGAGACGAGAGGACAAGACAAAAGGGATAGAGAAATAAGGACATATATATCAAACCAAACTAATTTGTATTTTAAAAGCTGTCAAAAAAATTAAGTATGTTTTAAAAAGAAAAGATCTGCACATGTTTTATCTCGAATCCCAGAGATTATTACAAGTTTCTAATAAGAGATCAAGATGCCGATGACCTGATTTTACAACTAGTGCAGAATTCGGATGCTGATTTGGTTGTTGAGACAGAAGCCTCTGTTCTTGGTGATGAAAGCATGCGAAGCAGCAAGCCGCGAAGGGAAGTTCACAACAGCCCTTTTAACTGACTCTGTACTTCCTGGTCTGCAATCAACCACCAACCCCGTCCCCCCCGCAAACCCCTTAATTTAAAGAAAAAAAAACAAAAAATAATAATCCAGAAAGAGGCTTAAAAATTTTCAGGGGTAACCTACCGTAAAGGCATGGGGCGGATGTCTATAGAAGAAGCATCATATTGGCATCCAGAAAGGAAGCGTTCAACGTCATCAAACACTGCATTCCGAGGGATCCCTTGCAGTACAATCTGGGGAAAAAGATAAACAGGACACAAAGAAAGAATGCCTCAGTATTTTTCAGATCCTTAAGACCCAAATATTAATGAAAACAATGGTAAAAACATACTTTTTGTCGATATATACACCGTAAAATATTCTGTCTTTGTGTGTGTGTGTGTTTGTTTGTGCACTTTGCAAAATTTGAAGTGCCGCCGTGTTTTTCAGATCCATAAAACCCTAATATTAATGAAAATAATGGTTAAAACATATTTTTTTCAATATATACTCCATATAATGTTCTCTCTGTGTGTGTGTGTGTGTCGTTGTGTCCTCCTTCAGCAGTGAGTTTTGTTTCTAAAAGAACTTTACTTGTTCGTTTTTGGGTTGTCCCTATATGAACTTCACTCTTTTCCATTCAAGGAAATAAATATGTGGTTTATATGTTTTATTTATTTCATAAATAAATCTCAACCACACAATTCCACTTTCTTAAACTCCGTGTAAAGAGTAAATGTGAACTTCTACTAGGGACGGGTGGGGAATTTATCTCGACAGCTATGTATAGAGCTGGTGAAGTAGTTGCAAGATTAGCATAGGTTTGGCTTCCTTCTTGCCTTTCTGGCCCTTGTCTACCAAGTCCCTCAAACAGAGGTTGTTTTTTGAAAATTGTAACCAATAGCCTGTTGATAGCTACTCAGCCTTATATGTTTCTGATATTTAAGTGCTTTAACTGCTCCTTCTGCTAGGTGTATTTAGGGTGAGGGACTAAATTGAAAGCCATGATTAACAGCAGGAATAAAAATAAAATTCTTTCTAGAATTAAAAATCAGACCAAGATGAAAGACACTGGACATCAGGAGTATAGATTTTCTTACAGATTTTCCATCATATGATCTCACATTCTCCCATTGCATCCGGTCAGCCTATCACAAAAAAGCAAATGGAAACTCTAAAAATTTTCATGAAAGCAGCTCCACCCACCCCACCACAAACAAACTATGGGGGGGAGGGGGGAGGGTGGTTCAAAACAACACATAGTACTTTAAAAATAGAAAATACCCTTAGAAGACCACCTTGACGGGTGGTTTTTGGAGTAACTGCTCTGAGCGCAGTAGAATAATCAGCTTGAGATCGGAATTGAATTACCCTGTGTTCACAAGAATGAAATGAACTCTTGACAAAAAACCATCTGTAATTCTAAAGTGTTTTGGGAAAGGTTTGGTTTGAGTATTTCTTTATTCTGCTCAATGAATCTGATAATTAGAGACCAGTATACCAGCTTCTAACTTTCTACAACAAGAACGACAGCAACAACTAAATAGAATCCCACAGGTATGATCTTTAGGGAGGGGGGGGGGGGTATAGGTGTACACAAACCTTACCCCTACTTTCTAGCAGGGAGGCTATCCAAGAGAACCCTGACTCAAAAAGAAGTATGGGCAAACAAACTACAATACGCTAACGAAGCACTAGCAAAGAAAGAAGATGAGGAAACACATAAGAAAAGAAACACATAACCTGACTCAGCCAACTAAAACCAACTAAATTCAAAGTACACAAGCACAAATGGCAGACCAAAAAAAATAAAGATTCACTGGCCAAAAGTATAAACTAATGCTACCGGGTCTACCCTAGTATCCTGATCCTGGCATTCCTATCTAAGGTCATATCCTCGTTGAGATCAAGGAGCCCTGAGTCCCTGCCTATTCACCTCCCCCAACTCTTCCAGGGTCTACCTCTACCCCGACCCCCAGTTTCCGTAAGCCTCTCGCACTTCTTCAAAGGGACTTCACCACCTCTCCTCTTAACGTGTGCAACCCACTTGAGCCTAGCTTTCTGCAACTTCTCCTCAACACGAACCACACTCACCCTCCCTGAATCACCTCGTTCTGAATCTTATCCATCCGTGTATGCCCACAAATCAACCTCAGCATCCCTATCTCTGCCACTTGCAGCAAGCAAACGGACGTGACTCATAAGTTTTCTTCACCGCCCACCACTTTGCTTCATATAGCTTGGCCAGCCTGCCACTGCCCGGAAAAACCTCCCTTTGAAGTTAAAATTTATAAACCAGAAAAGATGCTAGATAAAGAAGCTGATATATTCTTTCAAGACCTCGATGTACACCACAAAGAATCAAAAGATAATACTCCCCCTGGTCCTAAATTAAAAGTCCATTTTGTCCGAACACAAAACTTCAAAAGCGTAATAAGAAAGATTAATGTGCTATTTTGATTTAGTCCATTATTCATCCACAGCTAAAACAATGCCTCTTTTAAATCCATTTGCAGTAAACATTCATCGAAACCAATTAATTAAAAAATGTAAATTTAACAAGATGACAAAGTGGAAAGTTCAAATAGGGAATGCGGAATAGAACATTACGCTGAGGTTCCGTTGAAAGTTGTGTTGTATTCAAACTTGACGTCTTCAGCCGTTACATGACAGTCTCCCATCATAGCTATAATATCAGTCTTTGATGCAAACCTGCCAATCAAATTTATCCTCCCATAAACTTTACCTATAGACAAAGAGAGCAAAAAGATGCTTTTAGGAAATTACTTTGCAACCATCATACATATGAAATGAAAACAAAAATGAATTAAAATTAATATGCTGCCCATGACTTTACCACTTCAATTGCTAGAGATAAATTCTCAAATTTAATAAAAAAACATTAGAAATGTCAGGATATGTATCCATCCATCACACTCCCTCCGTCTGCAAAAAACTCCCAGCTTTATATTTCTGGACGACCATATAAAACATCTACATTTACTTTCCTATTTAAGAAATGAACATGGTGGCTCATAAAATTTCTCTCTCAGTCTCCCATCTAAACAGATATCAACAACACATTTCAGTTTTCAGCAAATGTCAGATTAAGAAACAAGGGAAGGAAGGAGTTTATATCGACATATGTGTATGTGTGTGCCGCTCCATAACTTCAAGAAAGCTTAAAACCCACGAGGGTAGCCAAATTGGTCGGGAAGTGAAAGCACAAGGTTCCCAGACAGCACATTGGCCTTCATGGACGAGCCAGCTGGTTTACCTCCTCATGGTTCTTTGCAGAACAGGACCATGAGACAGGATTACCAGGTGCTCCGTAAGGTAGTTGTGAGTTCCAAATTCTAAACAATATAAAAAGCTTGAACTTTTAGGATATCCAATGCGCAAAGCATGTAGGAAATGCAGGAGAAACCATCAAATCAAAAGGTAATCTCCGTAAACCCTAACCTCAAACCACTAATTACGTTGAAAGGCACATGAATCGAAGAAGTTACACAAAACGTAGATTCGATGATACCATTAGGTTCAAGATTCGGAATCGGCCTGGGAGGTAAGTCCCCAGTTTGCGGCTGCTGCGGTGGCGGTGCTGGCGGCGGATTTTGAGCGTCTGTGGTGAACAGTCTGGGACTGTTCCTGCTGAGCGAGGAAGCCCATTGATTTCCCAAGGCTACTTGGATCGGACGGCTAGATTTCGCAGTGATTCTGAGGAGGCTCATCATCTTGGAGGATGTTGGTTTCCCGGGAGCGTAGAGAGAGTGAGGAGAGTAGACCACAGGGAGGGGTGGAACTTGGAAATGGCGACTGGCTTGCTTCACTAATCCCTAACCTATCCACCAAAACGTCCCATAGCTGTATTTTTTTTTCCAAAACAATAAGTCATGGAGTATTAAAAAATAAATTCTACAAATAGTTTTAAATCACAATTAACTTTTTATATTAACTTCCCCAAGGTTCCAATAACATGGAAACCAATGTCATGGAATGACCGGAGGCGCTCCGGTGCTCAGTTCGTAAAATTGACGATTCCTACTCCCTAACCCCTCGGTAAACCCTCCCACCCCGCCCTGACCCGAACACACCCCCCACTCCCTTCAATTGCACCTCACAAGTTGATTTTGACTTTGGAGTCAATCTTATCCCCTCGGTAAACCCCCACTAGGGGTGAGCAAATTAACCGGACCGACCGTTAAACCGAAAATCGAAAACCGAACTAACCGCTAATTCGGTTTCGGTTTTATATAATAAAAAAATCAGTTTGTTCGGGTACTTCGGTTTGGTGTCGGTTTCGGGTATCGGTTAATTCGGTTAACCGAATAACCGATATACATGCTTTGTTTGGATTAACCGGCATATGTGTTTACTAATTAATAATACTCCGTATGCATTTTTAAAGTCCAATGGGAAGTTAGCCCAATAGCAATCAGCCCACTCCATTATCTAAAACACTAAAATCCATTGGGAGTTGGCAGTAGCGTACGGGTACTCCACCACATTGAGATTTGGGATTTATAATTTTAGGTTTTGGTTGTTACTCCACCCAATCGCGATTTTCGAAGCCTCATCCTTTTGCAGATCCGATCGAGAGTCCATGCCTCTGCAAAATTAAAGCCTCATCTTTTTGGTTGTTACTCCACCCAATTCTGCCCTTCTTTGAGAGTTCAAGACGACAGTGCAGTTCCTCAACCAATTTCGCAAGGTTTTGCTGTTTTTTTTTTTGGCAAAATGGGCTGAATTTTTGCCACTTTTCTTTGGCCTTTAATTTATTCAAAATTACACTATGTTGATTTAGAGAAAGAAGCCCCAATCTCGTTTGGCTTCAATGTTTTTTTGGTTTTCCATCAGCGAATTGCTTCAAAATTGTTCATCCATTCATTATTTATCTTTTACCATGATAGTTCATGTTTTGGGTGCTGTGCAATTCGGTTTTTGATAACCGACCGAAACCAATTCGGTTTAATCGGTTTCGGTTTGTCGGTTATTCTAATTTCCCGGTTCGGTTTCGGTCGGTTTTTTTTATCCCAAAAAAATTTCGGTTAGTTCGGTTTTGGCCCGAAACCGACCGAACCGAACCGAAGCTCACCCCTAACCCCCACACCCCGCCCCGACTCGAACACACCCCCCACCCCCTTCAATTGCACCTTACAAGTTGATTTTGATTTTGGAGTCAAATTTTGACTCCAAAGTCAAAACCAACTTGTGAGGTGCAATTGAGGGGGGTGGGGGGTGTGTTCGGGTCGGGGCGGGTGGGAGGGTTTACCGAGGGGTTAGGGGGGTAGGAACTGTCAATTTTACGAACGGGGCACCGAAGCGCCCCCGGGTTATCCCATGACATTGGTTCCCAATGTCATGGAACCTTGCCCTATTAACTTTTAGATCATATGTACAATTTTTTTAGGTTTGGGCACTATTAGCACCAATCTTCAAAATAATTGAAATGATAAATGAATTTATCTTGTCCCTCATTCTTGGTGATGAAAAGAATAATTGACTTCTAATTCTTCATACCAAGCAGAGTTGATACAAGTGTTAATGGGAATAAGATAACAGTTGAGTTTTTAAATGAATCCAAATGCTCGGAAACTCTAAACTACAAATAGTTTTGAAAATAGGGGTATTAATTATACTATTGAGTAACATTGACTAGACATCTGGATTGTGTATGAGATAAGATTAATCGTTGAACAGCCGCGAAATAACCTTATCAATGCAATTGTGGTTTTGGAAAATCGAGCTGGGAAAAAAGTTTACGTACCTAGAATGAATTTAGTACCACTTGATTGAGTACTACCATCTAACATTGTCATTTACAGAGTATTAGATTAGGTTTAATCAAGTTGGTGTTTATTCATGGTCAACTTTATTTTGTTGTTTCAAGAGTGAAAACAAAGACAAGATTAGAAATATTAGTTCGAGATGATAGCAATAACTCTTGCAAGTTGCAACCACACCAAAAACAAGATTAGAAATATTAGTTCGAGATGATAGTAATAACTCTTGCAAGTTGCAACCACACCAAAAATTCTTTATACCCTAAAGTCTTTCAATTTGAGGTATTCACTTTTGAATTTATTTATAAAAAATTTCATTACCAAATATTAAATGCTAAGTTATTTGTTTTACTTTGATTTAAATGTCTATACTGCTAAAGAACACATTACAACTCTAAAAAAACGCATTACATATACTTTTATAAATTCATGTAGAAAGATTATATTGAAGATAATATATAGAATCGACAAAGATTACATTCAATCCCTTGTCGCACGGGTAAAAATATGAGTACACAAAAAATATTGAGATGTTAGAGTAAAAAAAATTATTGGAATGAAGGGTGTAGAACCTTTTATATAAATTTGAAATATATAATTTGTACTCTTATTTTTATACTGATTTAAAATAAAATAGTTTAAAAAAATATAATTATTTTTATTTTTATGAAAAGGGAAAGTTTTATACTCGTATTGACGTATTCTTTCGCACGTAATTTTCAAAACTCCTTGCCGGCCTCACCGTCGTCTATCTTATTAAAAAAAAAAGAGTACAGTACTCCTCCGGGAACTTCTTCAGCGATTTGATACAACCGCCTAGCGAAGAACTCTCTGGAAGCCTCAAATCCATGATCACCTACCTCCGGTCAAGCAGACGCCGTGCGTAACGAGCGTGAATCCACATTTCACCTCCGGCGGATTATCCTCATTACAAGGGTCGATCGTAGGGTTCATGACAATCCGCTGTCGATTAAGATCCGATCCTTCTATTATACTCATCTTGTATAGTTCGGTTCTGATCAGCTGGATTCCTGGTAAAAGTTCAATGATCTCGCCGTAATTTGTTTTTTTACTGGTCTTGTAGGTTGCGATCCTGTTGATCTTGTAAATCTCAGTCTCAGTTCTTCGTTTGATTCTTCTGATTCAGAGAATGAATAATCATTTGTTAAAAAAATACTACGGAGCACCTCTTTCCAGATTATTCTTCAGGATTACCCCGTATTTTTTTCCAATCAAATTTGATGATTTTTAACCAACAATTAAATGCTAATTATATTTCATATTGATATGAAACCATTTTTTTTCGATTTTTTTTCCATCTTTTTTCCAGATAAATTTAATTTAATCATTTTTATTTAATTCATGCTCAAAAGTCAAATTAGACAAATATTTGGGATGGAGGGATTAAAAATAAGTGTTAATAAAAAAATTTCTGTTTTAATGGCTTCGCAGAACTGATTTCAGCAGCCGTGGTTACACTTGATTCAATTCAAATAAACAAGACCCATGAGCTGTTTGGTCGCAGCCCGACGGTTTACTTTCAGTGTAAAGGTGAAAACAAGACGATTTTGCCTGATGTGAAGAAAAAAGGCATTTTGTATGAGTTCAAAGGTGAAGAGTCTTGGCAGGTGTGTTATCCTTTGTGCATATATAGTAGTTCTGAGTGATCTTTCAATTGACAGTGAAGAATGTGGTAGCTTACTGTTGTAGATCATGACTTCAAATGATGGAAGTTTGATGTTCAGGTTCCTTAGCTTTTCCATCACAAGGGAAGAGTGTGATCTATAATGTTAAATACTCCGTACTTCATATAATGATACGGAGTATCATGAAAGAGGTCGAGTCAGTTGTTCTTCCCGTGTGTTAATTGACGTTAGTAAATTAATGAAATTGATATTACCCAGGTGATGCATACTTTCAAACACAACATGAACTCATGAAGTTGTGGCTGTTTGATATATGCTATTGAGTTTGGAGGAAGGCTGTTAATGAAATACGGGGTTCGGTTATAAGTTTTAATCCGGCTATAAATTAGACATCATCTTCATTTTTCTACAGCACAAGGAATATGTAAATTAATTTCACTAACAGTGACAGTTGTTGTAAGACCTTAGGTTTGCTTTATCTGTAAGAAAAATGTCATTTGATACTCCATTTGTCCCACAAAGATTTTACACTTTTCACCATTCAAAAATCACGGGAACTTTTGTTTTTTTTGTATGTTTTATTGATTATTTGATGAAATAAAATATTCTTGTCACCTCATGTTTTGTATTTTTTTTTGCACTTTTTAAATATGAAAATTTTATTTTTTATTTCTATATCAATCTTTAAATAAAATGAATTGAAAATATTTGAGATTTTACTTTGTTTTGCATAAAGTGTAATTCATTTTGGGACGGAGGGAGTATGATCCAAAATAATCTTATGTGTTTGGCTTTCTTTAACGGCGTTTACAAAAAATCTTGAAAAGTGTAAAAAGAGTGATTAAAAATTGATAAGAAGAGAGAAACTTTTTTAGGCACATATTCTTTTCCTTAAAAAGAAAGTGTAGATTATTTTGGGACGGACAAAAAAGGAAAGAAGGAAGATTATTTTGGGACGGAGCCCGGAGGGAGTTTTATTTTCATAATTTTCTGTTGAGCATGTATTTCCAACTATTAGAACTTTTTTGCTGTCTGATTGTGTCTAGCAGAGTTATTAGTAGTGTGACACTTGTGATAGATCCAGCTTGGAAGCAACTTTTTTTTTTGCAAACTACGCCCAAATTTAAAAAGAAAAAGGAGGAAGGAATTAATATTAACACATTATAGGCATTCAGATCTTATAAATGAGTTAAGTAAAAAGTGAAATTAAGACAGGTTCCTTGAATTACCATGAATTACTTACATTCGTCATGATGTGCATGTGGATGTGACTGTTTACACATGAACTTTATCCATCCAGGTGAGATTATATATTCATTGATTGAATTTTCATAGTATGCGTGTTCATTGTGTGTGCTGTGTGAATTTTATGTACGGAGTACATAGATAAGTCATATGAGCAATAGTAATGTGGTATTGGAATCGCATTCATGTTTCAGCCTTTGACACACCTCTTAGATAAGAAATGCAAGCGATGTGGATTCT